GTGCGGGCTTCCGGACATGTTCGGGTTGGCATGTAACCGGGTCCTCCCATAGGGAGGTACATGCAGCTGCACACAACTACACACAGCACCTGTCCATCCCGGGAGCAGGCCTCTGTGCAGGCATGCATGCCCGTGTGAATGGGCTCCTTACCCTTGCAGTGCCCCTCCCTCCCGCTGCAAGGGTTAAATGCTCGTTAAGTCTAGGAATAAGCTGTAATACCTACCTAATTCCTCACTCCAGCAGGTTTCGCTCATCTGTATGACCGGTCCCCTGGAAGCCTCTTCTCTAAGATGCTGCAGCCGGCGGTCGCACGATGATGTCATCAAGTACAATGCGGGGCCAATAGCCCAAGAGCCGTATCATTATATTATTATTATACAGGATTTATATAGTGCCAACAGTTTTTGCAGGAAGGAAGACATTACAGTTACAATACAAATCAGGACTAGATGATAAGGAGGGCCCTGATCCTTAGTGCTTACCTATGTCCCATTGCCTGGTGTGCTGGTAACCTCATTGCTTCTATATAGTGGATCCCATGGCACTCCTGACCGGATCAAACCCATAAAAAGGTTGGGGGATGCTGGAAGTGACTGCGGATGCCTCCGCATATCAAGCCAAAACTCACTCGCACTCCGTTGCAAAGTATAGTCAATCTTTATTAACTATAGTGATGTCCCATTGGCTTGGTGGGCTGGGGTCCACATTGCCTCTATGTCCCATTATGACACTAGATGGAGGAAGGAGCTGAGGTTTGAGGACAACTTCTGTCCAAGTTGTGTTTTTTCTCATTGGGATGGGACATATACAAGGATGACATCATCTGTGCTTATGACGCCCATGGTTGGGACACAGTGTGGAGTGGACCATAGGAAGTGATTCCTAGCTCCCGCACTGACCAGGACCCAACCTTCCCCCTTAAGTCAGAACGTTTTCTTGTTGGTCACATGGATCGCAGTTGTGAAGTTCCAGCACTATTATTCGGCCAGGAATGTGTTGGCATGTCCTGTTATCCTGGTCCCGCAGCTGTTGAATAAATAGAGATAGGACGCAAGAAAACATTCGGGTTGTTATGCCATTGTTACAAAACAATGTGTAATATCTGACAAACATGTTTTATCTCAAATTATTTTGTGTTTTATTGAAGTTGCTTCTGTGTTCAAACATCTCCGAGCGATACATTGAATGCTGAATGCCATTATCTGCATTTCTGGAGCTCAACATACTTTTTGGCCAGCAAGTCAACCATCGTATTTACAGCTACTACATCGGATTGTTAAAATTTCTGCTGCGAAAGCTGAATTGAGAAAAAAATACAGTTTATGAAGTGCAGTTTGTGGTGCTGATACATTGTATTGGCTTTACCTGCATTCTATGAGCAGCAGGTCCAGACTGCTTCATGTTATAGTTTAGGGGTAGTTCACACCAGCCCCAGTGCGTTTGCGGCCGCAGTTGGATCGCCCGGGCTGCGGTGTCACCCCTTCATGCCCTCTTCTCCAGGACCTGTACTACTAATCTCCCACAATGCATCAAGTTCTCTGAATGGAGGAGGGAGGGATGTATGTCCGGATCTCCACCGCCCATTTAGCTTGGTTGTGTTGTGAAGCAGATGCACATGCAGTATGCATGGACATCAGAAACTCCATTGTTGTCAAAGGGGTTTGTTCACACCGATGACTTGAGTTGCAATACGCCTTGAGTGCTGCATTTCGGGTTTGAGGAGCAGAAGTTTTACCTTTCAGGTGAACTGAAAAATAACCGTCGCCATTTCTTTTCCCATTCATCAGGTAGCCCTTGTTATATAAATGCCTCCTAATGAGGCTCTGTGTATTATATAGTAAGCCCCTGTGTCATCTTTTGGTCCCCTCGAGCTGCAGTACGTCTGGTGACTCATCCTAGCAATGCTGACACATCCTCTCATAGCTTTGCAATGTGTTCATGATAGTGTTGGCACCATGAAGTCATTTGGGATGGCTGTTTTGATGCCATTAAGTTCTTCTCACCTCCACCCTAAAGCACAGTGTGAATCAGACGGCCCCGAGCTTCCCAGAGGGGATAAATATATCTAAGTCTCTGACAGTAAACCCCGGAGAGAGGGTGTGGTGCTGTGGTTCACAGAGAAACAACATGTGACAGAACATTATGGAACACTGGCAGCCATACGCTGGCTCTGCTTCTTGGTGTAGTGAGGATCATTTATGCCAGGAGAGTTGACTTTTTTTATTCGGACAACCAAAGTTGCACATAGACTTCACAGGGTAGTTGGACCTCCAGGCACGATCCAGCCATTCTCAGGTGCAATACTTGGACATTGTGCACATAGACATTAATGCTTGTTTTGGGCAAGTACTTGAGTTTATGCCACATAAGAGGAGTAGGTAAAAATGCAGAACATATGCAGCAAGCAGTAAAGGAGTTCATTTTATCTTCACAGATATTGGTCAAGGTTTTCTAAGCAGTCAATTTACTTTTTGTGCCCATAGATAGGGTGGTTGTGTGCAGGTAATACCCTGACTGGATTTGTGATTGTATTGGTCAGGGTTGTCTAACCAGTCTACTAACTTTCTTGCCCATTGACAGGGTAGAACTGGCCAGGATCTACCCTGACTGGATTTGTGATCATATTGGTCAAGGTTGTCCAACCAGTTTAGTTACTTTCTTGCCCATAGACAGGGTAGATCTGACCAGGTTCTATTCTGATCCGTTGCTGATTATATTGGTCAAGATTGTCCAGCCAGTCCAGTCAATTTCTTGCCCATAAACAAAGTAGATCTGACCAGGTTCTACCCTGATTGGATTGGTAATGATATTGGTCAAGGTTGTCCAACCAGTCCAGTTACTTTCTTGCCCATAGACAGGGTAGATCTGGCCAGGTTCTACCCTGATTGGATTGGTAATGATATTGGTCAAGGTTGTCCAACCAGGTTAGTTACTGTCTTGCCCATAGACAGAGTAGATCTGGCCAGGTTCTACCCTGATTGGATTGGTGATTGTAACGGTCAAGGTTGTCTAGCATGTACAATTACTTTCTCGCCAAGACCTGACAACCCTCATCTATCTGCAGATCTATAGACATCATATAGTGTTGTGACCTGACCAGGATCCATACTGATTGGGCAATGAAAAGGTCAATTCCAAAGTTGAAAATGATCTGCTAGACACAGTGCACAGTTGTAACAAGCCGTACAGGTGTCCATTAATCTCGACAGGTATTGATCAAGTTTTTTTAACCTGTCCAGTTACTTACTTGCCCATAGGCAGCTTCCCTGTAAACATTGTAGATCTTGCCATTATCTATATTGATTGGACAACGAGCATCTAATGTTCAAAGCTGAAAACTAAACTTTGAGGGAGCACATCATCCTTGTGTCTGCTCAGGGCTTATTCAGACATAACTGTAGTGCAGCAGTCCACATCACTAGCGATTGGTAACAATCTGGTGGTCTAGAAATCCCTTAACTCGGTAAATGCTGATTTTAGTACAGTTGCAATGGTTGTTGGATGGCATTAATAAATTATTGATGTGTTACACTTGTTGTTCAGAATTGGACACATACCATTGTTTGCTTACCTGTGAAATAACAGTTTAAAAGGAAGAACTAGAGACCCATACTACCCTCCTCTTTCTACAATGTCTTCCTTTTATATTGCCTCTTTTCCCAGCTCTCCCCTTCCTCTCCTCTTATCTTCTTTCCTTCCTCTCACCCATTCTTCACTTGTCTTTTCCGATTACCTTTCCTGTCCTTCCTTTGCCCTTCCCCACTTCAGATCACCAATCTCCCTCTCAACTAATAGAAACATAGAAGAGTGACGGAGGAAAAGACCAATCGTCCATCTAATACAAATGGAATCATTATTTGTTGTGGTTATAAGGCCGTCTCTGTGGGAACTCGGCATATTTTACTATATCAGTATGTTGTTATCTGTTTTAAAAAAAAAATATTTTGTATCTATTCTATTGAAACATTTGGACAAGAATAAGGTTTACGCATAAGGAATGATAAGGTTTCTGCTTCAATATACCAGGCAGAGTTTGGGCTTTTGCATATAACTGGTGCATAATATGAACAAAAAAAGCATTTGTATTTTGTCTGCGGTGCTTCTGGAGATTTTCCATTTCCTCTCTAGTGAAATCTTTCTAACAGAACCCCAGATAGCAGTGGGAACTTTACAAGGGTTCTATTCCTGACCTACTGTATGCAAATGTAAAATGAAGCTCGGACTGGACATATACTTTAAAAATGTGCAAATATAAAATAGTAACACTGGCCGTAGGAACTGGTGAATGTTTTTTTTTGCCCTATGACTATTGGTGGTTGATGCCTCTTGAGAGGTTCTGTAAGAATGCTGATTTGGCAAGGCAAGAAAAATGATGTAACCTCTAAAAATAAGAGGAAAAAAAGCCCCACTCTTTCAGCTAGATACATTGATGCATTCTGATGGGTTTTTTTTGCAAACAAGTTAACATTTCCAGTGATGTTTTACTGGATGGTGAAGAAGAAAATAACTTGCACCATTGGGACCGCTCTCAATAGATAACAGCCCATCGCCGTGTGAGTCATAGTTCTGTTTGCGGAGATAGCTGATAATTGATCACCATATGTTTGTATACTGCGTTCCAAAACTCCATTATCTGTTCCATTAAAACAAGATGTTGTTGAAGTCACAAGCTAATATTGGGAGTCTAAAGTGCTTGGATCGGTGACAAGCTCCTGTGGGATGGGAATGATGGCGTTTAAATTAAAAATGAAATTAGATTTACAACCTGATTTTTGTTTTGATGAAGAGCTGTAATGCCTTTGTTCTGCAATAAGAATTGATATTTGAGCTGAAGCTAAGGCTCGGTGGTTTTCAGATAGGAGCCGTTTTGGCTCTTGTTGGATCCTATGGATAATATAATGGCTTTTAAGTAAACCAAACAGTAAACAGATAGATATTAATGTGCCTCCATATGGAGTTCTGTCAGTGTACTAAAATTATGATTTTTTTTTTTTTGCAGAAGCTGGACACACCCAAGGTCCTTTAGATGGAAGCTTGTATGCCAAAGTTAAGAAAAAAGACTCAACAAACGGAAGCACGAGCACAGTAAATGCCGGGGTCATCCCTCTATCTGCTGCCCCTAATCACATTGAACACACCTTGTCGGTAAGCAGCGACTCCGGCAATTCAACTGCTTCAACAAAAACAGACAAAACCGATGAGCAAGTGGCCAATGCAGCCTCCAACCAAGGGTTGACACCTGAGGAAAAGAAAGAACTCGAACGACTTCTCAGCGGCTTTGGACTGGACACTGACGCACAGATGCACAACTTAAACCCGGGAACTTCTGTAACCGGAGCTATGTTGCATGTTGTCCCAGCGCAGGTTCATGTCAATGGAGATAGCCTGTCCCCTCCAGCTGAAAGGGAGACCGATATTTTGGATGATGACTTGCCCAACCATGATGGACATAGTGTTGGAAGCTTGGGTACACTGTCATCCTTTGACGGTACCCCCAATGTAAGTGAGACTGGCTTTCAGGATTCTTCTCCTATAAGCATGTTATTAACCAATGGGCCAACAACCCTTAATGGCCTTGAGAAGCTACAAAAGCATGGCTATCTTGGCAAGGAAACGATGATCAATGGTGCGTATCCATACAACAACCAGAACATCACGAAAAACACAACCATGCCACTGTCTCAAGATGTTGGCAGTCAAATGAGGCCATCTGTATCTGCCCAAGACAGTCTGTCTTCCTACCAAGTCAGCCAGCCAGCAATGTCCAATTGGGCACAACCTCATTCTGCAATGACACAAAAGCACTTATATTATTATGACCCTAATGGGATGTACCGGTCTCAGTCCTTCCCAGCTGCAGAACCGGCAAACTACGAACCCAGTTCACAGTTGCCGCAAGCACCAGCCCGAAGTGGAAGCAGTAGGGAGGCTGTCCAGAGGGGTCTTTACTCTTGGCAACAGAGTGGAAGTCGTCCACCGTCCCGTCAGCAGGATGCTGTGATCGAGAATCAATATAGCAGCCCAAGTCTGCAACCAAGCACTTTTCAGACTGTTTCTCAAAGCCACAGTATCCCTGAATTCCCCAAAATGGCCTCACAGAACGAGATTGAGCAGTCAATTGAAGCCCTTAATATGCTAATGTTGGACCTTGATCCCTCGTTTTCACAGATGCACAAGTCACAGAGTGTCCCTGTTGCTCCAAAAGAGGACAGAATCATGCCAGTTTCAGGGTCACACTCTGCCCAACCCACTCTGTCATCCTATAGCTACCAGCCCTCTCCTCAGGTGGCACCTGAAAGACCAAGCAATTCTTATACTGTCACACCGACTGGCACCCTTCCTGCTGCCTCATTTAGCCAGCCCCATACACCTATCGAGCAAGGTCCAAGAGCATATTCATCTGGAATGCATGAACCACCACGACCCATGGAGATTATGCCAGTTTCAGGGTCACACACTGCCCAACCCACTCTGGCATCCTATAACTACCAGCCGTCTCCTCAGGTGGCACCTGAAAGGCCAAGCAATTCTTATGCTGTCACATCATCTGGCACCCTTCCTGCTGCCTCATTTAGCCAGCCCCATACGCCTATTGAGCAAGGTCCAAGAGCATATTCATCTGGAATGCATGAACCACCACGACCCATGGAGATGGCAAGACCTCTAAATGAATATCGGGAGCCCTACTCTGGATCTTATTCTCCATATGGTTATCAAACCCAACAACCTCCATCAGCCTTGGTCAGAAGTTACAGCTATGGGATGCCCACTGCCACCTCCAATATCCCACCTTTATCTGCTTTTATGCAAAGCCCCCAGTCATCTGCTTTAACTTCCCCTGTCCTTACTCCACTCAATACCCAACCCCAGCAACCTGTCAGAGAAGCCCCAGACGAAGAGCAATATCAACTGGAAGGGCTTGTCGCACAAAGAGTTGCAGGTAAGAAATACATCTTTGCTCTTGCACCGAGCGGAGGCCAGATACTTGTTTAATCAACATGTGAACATTTATATTGTCTACTTGTAATTTGGATTTTCACCAGGCAGCCAAGTTGTGTGTTGAACCCATTGCATGGAATAAGCCCTTTTTTTTTTTACAGTGGAAGAATTTATTTAATGGACATGACCAAAAAACAGAAGTACAACGTGTTTAAGAGTTGGTTCTGTGGAAGATTGGTGGCTTTCACTGTTGAGATGACCTGTTTGGTAATCCTCACACCGCTGCTCTCTCTTGTCCTTAGACAAACCCGCTCCATCACTTTGTAGTAACCAGCCTCATTTGTCATTCGAACATTGTTATGGTTACTGCGTGCCCAGGGTAAATATTTGCCTGGTTGGTATACAAAATGTGGTCATTACAGACCGTGTTTGGAATCCATTGACCACAGACAGTGTGTGGCCAACCCCACATTCCTCCCAGCTTGTTGCTGGACTCGCTTCCTCCTGGTGGAACACATGAGTGTACCGCTCAGAAAACTCAATTTCTCCCACACGTTGAGAGACCCTTGTATACATAAAGGATAGCCAGCCTTAGGATTCTAATAGTTGGAACACAGGAGGCATTTAGTGTTAGGGTTAAATGATTCCTCATGAAATAAATGCTTTATATCTTTTTTACGTTAATATTGGTGTGTTACAAAAACGTCCAAAATCTATTATTTGTTATACTTTTCTAGTGTGATAATCCAACCTTACCGTAAGTGACTTATTAAAAGGCTACAAATATAACCTTTATGTAGAAGATTCATTCATCACATCAGTAGGGAGGCTGTTCAGAGGGGTCTTAACTCTTGACAACAGAATGGAAGTTGTCCCAACAGCAGGATGCTGTAAACGAGAGTCAGTGTAGCAGCCCAGGTCTGCAAACGAGCCCTTTTATAGACTGTTTTGATGGTCATATTAAACCTTGAATACTTTTTTTCAAGAGTTGGATGATTCAATGCAACTAGGAACCTTTTCCAGAGTTGGCCACATTTCTTATTATATGAATTTGCATACTATGCAGTCACCATTAGATAATATTGGGTTCAAATGACACATCAGTTAGTGACGACGCTGTGGAAATCTGGATCACAAGGGCCCAAAGGATGGACTGTTCTTGTTGCACATCATGGCCATTGAGATGCTCTACTCTTGCTTCATTAAATGAGAGCATTTGATTGGTTACTATAAGCAACCTGAACAAGCCTTCCTTCAGATGATCAAATGTGAGGCCCAAGTGGTTACCAATTGTGGAAAAACTTTGGCTGACTGTCTTAATGGTGCTGAATGGGTGTCATTAGGGATATTCATCCTCAGACATATAAACTGGGCAAACCTTTGTTTTGCCCTAAAATATGTTGTGTTATATGCAAATTTGACAGTAAAAGAGCATCTGACCCATTGGCTGCCATTTTGTCCTTAAAAGTGTATCTATAGGCAAAATGTTTTTGTTTTTGTTTTGGTATAAAGTGGGGAAGGATTAGAACTAGGGATGCACTGATACTAGTATCGGTGCGAATACTCGTACTCGCCCAAATGCTCCCGATGCCTCTCTCGATACCAGAACTTCTGGTATTAGGAAGCCAGTGAGTCATTACACGCTGCCCGGCTTACCGATTGGCCTGGAAGCTGGCTCCATGCTCCCTCGTCGCAAGGTGTCATAGAGCTGGGGGGCGGGTAACTGATTGGCCAGGAAGCCGG